TCGCAAAGTAGGGGTTATCAGGAATAAGCTATTTTGAGTGTAACTTCCTTCTTATCAATGGAGATGCGCAGGGAATGTGACTGAGTCGACCCTGTGTACGTGGCATGACGTGTACTGGTGAAATTAAGGAATGTAGCTCGTCTGAATATCTGCTCTGAAAATAACAATAAAGCAGTAATAGTATTTACACTATCTACAATGTCTCGGACTATTGTCCTCTTAATTAATGTCATATTCAAGATGTTTCCACCGTTGTACGCTCCACCCTTCTTCAGGTAATATATGTTGGGATTTCGAACAGAACTCTTTATTTAGTCGACTGGGATAGATTTTCTAGTTCCACATACCACGCCTTGTCTCAGTCTGCGATAGTTTAAAAAGTCGGGTAAGGTTGAAAAATTTGAAACGAACGAAGAGCGTGTTAGAAATGTTCAAAAAATACATGACAAGTGGAAAGTTCGACAAACTAGGTTTGGTTTGGTTTGGTTTGGTTTAGACTTCTTACTGGTGTAACTAAGGAATGTAGTATTTTGAGAAAATCCCAGATGCTGAAGCCTGAATATATATATATATATATATATATATATATATATATATATATATATATAAAATATATAGATGCTGAATATATAAAATGAAAATATAAATATATATATATATATATATATATATATATATAAGCAAATATATGGATATAGATGGTTTGGATTGGTATTGCTTTTATGTCCATCGTCTTTTTCATGTTGAATTGTATATGGTCTATTTTAATTATGTTTTATGAATATGTCCTGAAGATGGTCTCTTAGACCGAAACGTCCGACGTTGACATTAAACATTAAAACAGCATAATCGCATATTAGGATTTTTGTTTGTTTTTTCAGTATATGTTTCTTCATATATATATATATATATATATATATATATTCAGGCTTCAAAATATTGAAGTTGTTTTGAAGCATCCTAGACTGGTTGCCCCTACCATAGCCGAAGAGTCCATTCTGCTCTACAGTGTAACCTATAGCTAGGGGAATTTCTAAGGGTATATGAGCGAAAGTAAATTTTACAATAGTCGACAAGATTTTTTTTTTCAAAAATGTATAGCTAGTCATATTTTTTTTCAAAAATGTATTGCTGATTATATTTTTTCTTGAAAAATTTATTGCTGGTAAAATTTTTTACAAAGTAATTCTGGTACTAAAAACTATTTTTACACTTTCATAGTGTCTTAACACCAGTCTGGAGGTTAACTATTTTCCCATAGCTGAGACCCTAACAGGTGCTATCGCCCCGGGTCATGGTGAACCTGGGAACATCAGTAATTAAAATTTCAATCTTCTTTACCCCGATAGTCGCAAACCATTTATTGCTGTCTCCGTTATTCAGTTCTGGTTTTCTAAAAGTTGCGGTATTGATATTTTGGCAATTTCCGTCGTAAAGCAAAAAGCGTTTCAAAATACAATTTGATTGTATAAATTTTGAATTTATTTCAGAAAACAACTTTTTATATTCATTCTCAATATTTAAGGCATCCAATTATCCGGAATTTTTAATTATCCGAACACCTTAAATTCTTGTCCCAAGGTTTTCGGATAAACGATCAAGTACAGTATACAAACAAATGTGAGTAAAGTTTGTTTCCTTGGTTTTTTGGGGTTTTTTTTTAGAAATTTTTGAGTTTATTCATAAAACTGTCCAAATTTGATCACAAGGAATTAAAGAATCTCTAAAAACCAAAATTTATTCAGAATTTAAAATAGAGTAAATTAGCAAACTTAGAAAAGCGTAGTCTGATAAAAAAATACCTACGTCTGGGGATCACAGTGAGGACCGAACTCACTACAGTAGTGATACTATTTGGGACAAGCTTGTTAACGACTACTCAACAGCCACATTCTTAACTTACATCCTCCCGGAATCATTTTAAACTGAAGCCTTCTTTATTTGTCTATATTTCTGAGATGAGCTATTGTAACTACATTATTTACATTGTTCGGACTATTGTCCTCATATTTATTGTCATATTTCGACCCTTGTAAGCACCGGCCTTCTTCAGGTGATATACGTCCGAATTTTGAAATGGTTCAACGTGTCATGTCAGCTTCTGGATGAAACTAGAAGAATCAACCCCGATGAACGAAATATAGGGTTCGTTTCGAAATTCCGACGTATATCACCTGAAGAAAGCTGGAATCGGACGAAACGTCGTGAATATAACAATAAAAATGAAGACAATAGTCCGAACAATGTAAATAGTGTAAATTCACGCCTTCTTTTTTTTTTTTTTTTTTTTTTTTTTTTTTTTTGCTTAAGGTGCGTATTTTCTTAATTTCTGATGAAACATTTTTCACTGAAATTTTTACTTTCCAAAATTATAGTTCCATTAGCTGCATGGTATGTGCTTTTCAAGGGCTGCATATGGTTGAGAATTCAGAGTTATACGTCTCCTAGACTGGTTGCCCCTACCATAGCCGAAGAGTCTATTCTGCTCTACGGTGTAACCTATAGCTAAGGGAATTCCTAAGGGTATATTAGCGAAAGTAAATTTAACGATAGTCGACTGGAAAGCGAACTCGTCTATCCTATTTCTCTTTTTTGGTTCCTATCCATTTCACCACCCGAATATCCAGAAGTTCATTTTATTGATAATATGCAAGGATACTACTGTCCGAGAAGTAAGATCCAAATTGATATAAATCGACTCGCATTAAAACGTTTAGAATGATGTAAGTGCAAAGCAACGTTGGTTTTTCACACTTATTGTAACAGCGAGACAAGACTTAATATTAAGTGCATGCGGACGAAACATCTGAACAATATGGCTGCCTCTATAGAACCTTGGGCAAACATAGAAATGCGAGGTATAATGAGAATTTTGCTTGCCAAGGGCAAAAATCCAACTTTGGACCTCAAAATAATTGACTGAAGGACACAGGTTTCAGCGCATTTTCTACATTCGGAACGATATAGGGAAATCGATGGGGATTTTTTGTATCACATGATCATTCGGGATAAGGCCGGAGTGCATTATCTTACACGTGAAGGGGATTTATAATTCTAAGTAAATAATTGTAAAGCCCCTAACATTTATATCTACAAAAATACTCGTAAAAATTGAGAAACAGCAAGACGTGGAGACAACAAAATAAGTATTAGTTATTAACTGGATGTTATGTGGTGTTGCGAACACCAGAGACAGTTATGCTAGGTAGAATTATGAGTTTGGGGTCAAATGCAGAGCAAATATGTATCGAAATCTGACAAAAGCATAAGATTAAGAATAAGTAAAATATAAAGTCTTTCTTGTACGTTTTTTATGGGTGTATGTAATGTGTCCAGATAATTTAGTAGGAAAATACAAGTGTCTGCAGTTTTCTTAACTCGACTTTTGAATGCTAAAATATAAATGATACTATTATGGCCTGAAAAAGGAAACGGTGACGAAATTTTCGTTGACTCATGTGTTACTGACCTGTCCGTGTGAACTGTTTGTTTGATAGTGAGAATGTCACGTGTTTTTGTGTGTAGAGTAAAAACGTGGTATCGATTCTCATTGGTTTAGAATTAATGATGATTATAATTGTTGTAAATATTTTATTTTAATTCTTTTTGACGTTATAATTCTTATTTATTTTTTATGGATACGACACGCGAAAAACAGGTTGATTCCATGACCTGAAAGTATCCATTGTCACCGAATTCATAAAACCGAAAGTTTCGTATTTAGGAAAAGAAACTGGCGGCAAATGTGTGCTGCTTGTGGGCTACACACAACATAATCAGATATTCCACGCAGACAACCTGAAGGATGATTGCGATGATGGCATAAAGGTGTCATATTTCTGAACAACGAGACTATCCTACATACGCCCAATTTGACAAATGGATAGCTTTAATGTTTGTAGGGGTTTTTTTTGTTGTTTTTTCATGATTAAAAAGAGTAAGCTCATCAGCAATTCGAAGAATGGGCGTTTAAAAAGTTTTATTCGCATCTTCATTAAATATCAATTAAAAAAATCATTTACTTTCTGATAAATTTTCCCTTTTACTGCCTTGTCTCCTAGAACAATTTTACTGTAATGAGTGCGTCGGCATTTTTGTCACTAGCGACAGACAAGGACAATTTCCACTTCAATTTCAAAAAAAAAAAAAAATCAACGGCACGAACCATTGCTCTTTTCGTTACTAAATAGTCATCGAATACAAGGCCCACGGTTGACGGTTACTGAATGAGGTTGTTGTAATACTGTAAGATGAGGAAGTAAGAGTCCATTATAAGGATACGTAGGACAGATAACGGTTGACCCTAAACTATTTATGATACATTATTCGGAATATTGTCCTCATCTTTGTTTCCATATTTATTACAACGTTTCGGCCGTTGTAAGCTGGTTGGAATCACGAACTGAACCATTTATTTCGATCACTGGGGTAGACTGTTCTAGTTCTAGACAGATACGTTTGACCCTAATTTTGAAGAAAACTCTTCAAAACTAGGGTCAATAGTGTGGTGATTAGGGAATCTTCCTCTCGGGAGGATGTACCGTAATGTAGCAGTTATCAGGAAATAATTGTCTGAGTGACATTTCCTTTCTAATAACGGAATACAGAGTGAAATGGGGATCATTCAACACTAATCACCTGGCATGGCGGCTCCTAGCTGTAAAAGTCTGAACAGGTTTTTTGATTAATTTATTGATTCGTTTTTCTTCGGTTTATCAACCCATTGGGGGTAATTTAAAGCCAGAAAATATTTTTCAATTTTAATATTTTTTTAGAGATAATAATAATTTTAGAGATGCAAGTCTTACTAATTAACCCATAGCTGGGGGACAAGATGTGCATTCATACCTTTTCCAAGGGCATTGGCGAACAAGTGGATTCATACCTTTCGCAAGGGGATTTGCGCGTAAGTGAATATAACGAACCCAACTAGAATTGAAACTCGGCTCTCCGATTAACAATCCGAGTCATTATCCATTACACCACCCGCACATCCAAGCTTCCGACACCTGGTATTCCCAAGCGGCCACCCATCTAGGTACTGATCTGGTTTTAATTTGCTTAATTTCGGGGATCGTACGGGAACTGGTGTTTAAACGTGATGTGGCCGTAAGCTGATGGAACTAATGAATGTAGCGGTCCAGAATATTATCAGTGGAAATAGTGATAGTGTAGCGATATATCTTGCGGCATTTCCTCAGTGGGAAAAAATTGTAGATTTTAAAATAATTAATCACCCAAGAGTTTGCGTAATACGCTTTATAACTGTCACGGTATTTACCCGAGCTTCCCACAGAGCGTAAAGTGACACAAGGCCGGTTTTACGTTAGTCTTTTCGAGCGCGTACTCTCGGGAAAAAATGTCCTTGGACCCCGTAATAATTGGGTTGGGGTAATTTACCTCCCCAGACAAGTCTTTGCCTTTCAACAAGTAGTGTTCGCAAATCGGGAGTTTTGGGAAACTTTTATAGCTGTCACGAAATCTAAGTTGGGATTGGGCATCTCTAGCCGACCTATGGAAGCAATAATCAATTTTAGGTTTCATCTTCATCTTCTTATGACGCAACTTCCGATGGAGGTGCACAGATTTCTGGGAAATTTGATATCGAAACATTAACTGTACAGCCAATCTTAATAGTCCGTGATATTTATAGGGCACCGTCATGTTGAGAAACAAATTTAGACATATTGAACAAAGAAGCCTGCCGTAGATGAAACAAGGAATATATCCTTAACATTAAAAGTGGGGACAATCTTAATAAAGAAGAAAAATTTACAATAGACATTAAACGGATGATTTAGAGGGATGCTCCAGAACAACAGAGACGAGATATCTTCATCGTTAAAATTCAATGCTAGAAAAAGAATATTAATTTATTTTTATTTTTTTACCGGTTATCAAACGTTTGAAGATTCTTTAAAGCAAGAAAATATAAGAATTTTTGCAGATAATAATGATTGGCTGACACAAGCTTACTAATTAACTCATAGCTGGGGGTAGAAGAGGTGGATTCATACATTACCCAATCGTATAGAACGAATACGACTGATTTCTATTCTACTATTTCAAATTCAGAACTATTATGCATTACATCAGCCGCACATCCAAGCTTACAACACCAAGCGGTTACCTATCTAGGTACTGACAAGGATCGATGTTGCTTAACTTCGACCATCATATGAGAACTGGTGTTTTACTGCCTCGATAAAACCATTGGACGCTTTCTATGCTCCTACATTTATTCGCTCGTTTTCTTTTCCGCACTTCGCTTCACACTTCTGACATTTTGTTGTAACCTAGAAAAAGTTACTGAATGAGGAATAACCAAAATGGAGATTGGAAATGAAAATGATAATCTTTATAACATCAACAAAATACAATACTCGCCAGCGGCGTGAATTAGGTAAACCACTGCTAATGTTGAACTACTTAGGCAGCATATTACCCCCACTTACAATAGTGTCCAACGTATTTATGAGGACTGGGACATACCATTAGTGTTCATAGGTACGGTATATAACACATTTCTCTTCAGTTTAAGGTTAAGCTGGTTTCTCGATCTGAGACCTTTTCTGATTCCAGGTTACAAACGCTATGGAAAGGGGAGATATTAAACTTTGACCTTAGCTTTAAAAATAAGGCTTAACGGCCGTATATATACACAGAAAGACAAAATTGATTTTTACGTATGTTCTTGCTTTCCTATATATCAAACATAAAATTTTATAAATTTTTTGACCTACGGTGGCCGTTAATAATTAAGTATAACTCAAGACTTCAATGTTAAGATAAAACAGTATTTAATTACAGCCGCAAATGAAAACTTAACAAGAACAAAGAAGTAAAAGTCAACGAAAGATAATTAACCATTTCAGTGAATAACCTGTTAGTAGCGCTTCTAGGCTTAACGTCCGGTAAATCCTAAATCAAAACACAAATCATTGGAGTACAATAATTCACATTAATTCGACTGGATAGTTCCATTCAATATTTGCTCAATAATCATTCAGTAGTCATTTCAATCAGTAGCCTGACACTATTTATACACCTGGCGGAAAAAATATATTCATAAGTCCAGGGTATCACGCTCGAACCTCGGTATAGACAGTTGCTCTTATTCTTCCTATATGACAATAAATATATTAGCCGAGGCATCCGGTTTTGCCCGGGTGTACATGGCTGCAATTGTTTATTCGCACCCCTCTGTATACCACATCCCTTGTCTAGAAATATCTGCTTGCGTCCCCACTTTCATGCATCATACGTTGGTATATTAAGCTACTCACCCCTCATCTTTTTTACGGTATGTTCTTCCCAGGTGTTTCATTGTTCTTAATAAAGGAATTCCATAAAACTGTCTTATATGGTCGTTGCTCGGGATTAAATTGTTTCAATGTTTTAGATATTCAGTAAATTTCCTATGGCCGTAATAACTTCAAATAGTATGGTATTGTTTACAAATCTAATAATCAAACAAAAACAGGGATGAAGCGTCAGAGTTTGATTCAACTGCAAGTGAAAACGCATGAGAGCCCCCCCTCCTACTTCGCACGTTTACTGTAAAGCTGAGATTAATAAGTTCTTCGGGAATTTTTTCCCTCTTAACGCTTCAATAATGCTTCGTAAACAATCTTTATATCAACGGTTGTTTGAATGCTAGTTTTGGATGGAATCATATGAAGAAACTATTGGCTAAATGGCAAAAGCCAATTTTGTTTGACCTAGATTTCTTCCTCTTATCTGAAATAATTTAAACCAAACATTCACGCACGACAATTTGTGTGTCATATGTAATTTACATTCAAATTTGGAAAGAATCGGATGAAATACCAGGGAGTTATGGCCGAAAGACGGCACTTTTTGAACAGTTTTTCGTTATACACTGTATCTTATTTCCTGCATGATGGCAAATTTTTGGCGACATGTTTGCAAAAAATCAGATAAGTTTTTCAAGTTTTTATTCTAAGTAGTACGGAAAACCCGATTTTTTAGCAGTTTTTTTTTTTCAATTTTTTTTGTGTCAAGCCAATGTTGCAGGATAACTATTAAACTCTCTACATAAACCTCGTAACATGAGCTGTGTTTTGTATTAAGTGCAAAGAACATCAGATTATTCAGTAAGAATTTTGCTCGCGTGTAACTTTGCCTTGGTATTTGCAAAAAGTCCTACCTACCTTCAGTTTTAGGGAACGTTCTGCCAAAGTTGATTTTGTCCTGTCTTAATAAATTTGCAACATGTGTGTACAATTTTATCGAAATTGATCGAGAAATGTGGATGTGCGTAAATAGCATACACACACACACACAGATACAGACAAACGCAGACACACGCACACAGACATCTTTAGTTTTATAGATATAAACTAGTCTTTACTCATAAAATATCTATATTATTTTGTTTTGTTTTTTTAGCTAGAATAACTTGATTCGATGTGCACTGGGGATCCGTCCCCATGAGAATATCTTCCCCCATTACAATAAGAGGGAAATATTAGCACATTTGCAGATGTCTTTAATTCCTACCAAGAAGCAGTAGAATTTTTTTCAAAATGCTCATTTTAAAAAGAGTTTATACAGCATGCCTTCAACTCGGTGAAAACAAATATATTCTCTCTAGGGATAGAATCTAACACCTGACGCTAGTCTCTGTTTGATACCTACACTGGATGATTTGGGTCAGCCATATTATCTATGGGCTATACTCAAAAGTCTTTCATCCCTTCCGAAGAAAACAGAAATTCTTTCTCTTCTATCCTGTATTTAGTCGTCTTTTTATTTGAGGAATACCATCAAATCAGTTCTGATTTTGTCGTTGTCTTTTTATTGACGACGACCATCTGTCCACGTTGCCTATTGGGAAATTGCATCGTGTGCTAACTGACGTTCGCTGGCTGATCCAATGTTAAAGATGCCCAATCTTCGAAGCGGTAAAATTAGAAATAGCATAAAAGGTCGTTTATCAAGCTTAATCCATAGAGAAAACCAGGAAACAATCTCGTTTTTCTTCTATGTGTCGTGGCTCTTCAGGGCGTAGGGGTTTATGGCTCTCCACAATTTCCAGTCCTTCAAAGTTATTTTCGTCCTGGTTATGACGATAAACTGCATCCGATAGCAAGGCCTCTAATCTGGAGAGGAAAGGTTATGAGAAGCAAGGAACCACCACTTTATTGCTATTGGTCCCAGGTCCACCTTGACCTGGAGTGTTGGCACTTGTTAGGATCCCAGCGATGGGCAAATAGTGAACTCCACAATAAAAATCAACTGTATATTCTTATAGTAAAATTAGCAGCAATACATTTCATGATCTACAGAATATATACGTAAAAAGCCAACCTTTATTCTGAAAGTATCAATTATGTAAAAAATATCTATAGTTGAAAGCATAAAATTATCTATAAAATATTTAGATTTTGACATTAAATAACCTATAGAATTGTTGATGTACCACAAAACAAAATCAACCAACTTGAAACAAATATTTCGTGATGTAGGTTCATATAATACCCTACAATTTCTTAAAAAAATCAAACTCTTCTAAACTCTCACTTAAAAAAATTACAGCATAAAATACAGATATCACTTCCTCTATAAATCATGTCCAAATGAACATGTATAGGATATAACGGCAAAATTGTCCATTTGTTAGATTAAGCTTTGAATCGTTGTATCTTGGAAATGATTAAATATATCTTACTGGAGGTTCTTATAACACTACTCAACTCAACTTTGAGCAATAAGAAAGTATAATTACTCTACAAGCTTAACAGAAGAATCGTGATGAATCGATCATAAACGAAAATGGCATGTTAATCATTAATTAATCATAGCTAAGGATCGGAAGCTCATGAAGGATTGAAATAAAGCTCAAATATATATATATATATATATATATATATATATATATATATATATATATATATATATATATTCCAGGAACATTTTCCAACTTGTTCATGATGATCTTCGCCATCTCTAATATTATAACTTATTGTCCTGGAGAAACAGGGTGTCTCGCATGTTTCACGTACGATTTCATTTTCAGGACTTTTTTCACTGTTATTTGGAATGTCATAGCTGAAACTCCTCTCTCGCGTGCCAAACGTCTTATGGATT